TTAAATTATATTATACATTATAAATTTATATTGGAAGAAAGAATCGTAAGGGCTCGTTTCTCATATTTATTCTTATTTCATTCTATAATCGGATATATGTTTGCGCCATTTATAATTGCAATATTAAAGTTGTTTTTGGCGCTGTTGAGTTCGACAATTGCTTGTTCTTCGAAGTGTTGTCCATAGCTCTGTTACACTTATTACATACAATTGAGTAAAATACTATGAGCTTCTGATTATATTCTACATTTTCAGTAGTTATTTTCGTAAATGAAATTCTTACCTTGGCGTCTTTCGCAAAGTGCATCTGGGCAGCTTGTAAAGGCCTTTGGCAACTTCTGCTGCGGTATCGCCGACCATGTAGCCCCACCCGCAAAGAGCCTTCGGTGGAAGAGGTCACTTGGTCGTGCGCCCGAAATAGCGCCTGCGAGCGCGTCGCGGGCCCTCTCCGCCAAGCAGCTCTTCACGGGTTGATTTTCATAGCCCGCGTCATCCATAAACATCAGGGTCATTCTCCTGTTTGCTCGAGTTTATGACGGACGCTCCCGCCTGGATTACGTCGTTACCGCAGCGTTGGCCGGGCTCCGCGGCTGCCGGAGGTTAAATTGGGACTCCGGGCTGAACCGCCTCTCCACATCCTCATCGATCGCACCTCCCAACGCTATTTGTCGGCCTCTCCACGTCGAATGGAGAATGGTGTATTTGATTTCGATACATTTCGAGAGGTTTTGCGATGCGCGTACCTTTAGGTGGTGGTTGCTGCTTAGTGTAAACCGCGTGGTTCTCTTTGCAGAGTTCAAAAAAATAAATACCATCACGTACGCTGGGTTTTTTTCCTCCTAAGATGCCGAATTCACGTCCTGCCTTTCCAGCAATGAAATCACATTTTCCTGTTCAAAAAAACCTCTAACAATGCCACATGTAGGGTTTTAAAAATTGCTTTTATATATTATTCAAAATTGTGAATTCTTTTAAGCGTCTCTTCGTTACGTTTTGGTCTTCTCTGACGTAAATTCATTGATTGAACGACCGAAGCACGTGTTTGTGTATCCCCAATTTAAGATATTGATCCGCGGTCTAGTACTCATCCTTCGCGCCCCTGCCCTTTCGTATTTCCCCTATTTTCCTCTAATAACATTCCCCTGTTTCTCTCTATCTCTTTCTATCTTCCATTTCCTTCCGTCTCCTGATTTTTTATATCCTCCCATTTCCTGATGTATTTCCAACCCTTAGCTCCAATCTGACGCCCTACTAATCCACTTCTTCCCTTTCCTAATCTCCGCTTGTCTCTCCCCGGTGCAGCCTTGGCCCTTTCTCGTGTTTTCGCCTATCCGCCCCCCCCTCCACCCGCCGTCGGCTTCGCGTGCGGCGAAACAAAGCGTTCGCTGATACTCGGCTCGCCTTACACCGATACGGCACGGGCGGCCCCGGCGCCGCCGCGCCCGTGTTTAGGGCGGATTTCGTTTACAGCGGCGCACGCCATGCCAAGCCTCTCTGCACGGCCAGTTCGTTTCTCCGTTCGCGGCGAGTGCCGGCCACTCGATTGCTGCGAATGAGGGCTCGTGGGGCGTGGCGAGCGCTATTTTGGAAGCGCTGGGTCCGACTCCGACTCCGCCGCCGCGGGAGAGAGCCACAGGTGACGCGGGGGCAGGCGAGGCGGGGGCGTGCTGGGCCGATACGTTGCGCGCGTGTCTGCAGGCCGCTTTGCAAGTCCGAGTGGTACAGAGAAGTGTGCGAACTGCGAGCAGAGAGCATTCTGGTTAGAAATTCTACTGCTGGTTTATTGTGGAACTTTATCAAGTTTGCAAATTGAAAGATAAAGGATTGTAGAAAATGCAAGGGAAGTACAATCGTTAAACCAACTGTGTGTAGTAAATATTAAATTGTACGAGAGCATTTGTATAGTTACTTTTAACATATTCGTAAAAGGCTGTTACAAAATATGGTGACGTCCTTTGAGTGGTTTATAAACTATTCAATGATTGATATTTTCGTATCCCTTATGCCAAGTGGTTTAGATACTTTCGTTGTTCGTCTCTTCTATGTTCCGCGAAAGCAAGTGGTCGAGCCTACGTTCGCCACGACACTCCGTCCGCACGAGCCGGGGGTGTGAATGAGGCTGCGGCAGGTGCAAGCGGCGTCCAAGAGCGAGGCGAACTTCCTCCGTTTGCGTCGCGTCGCGTCGCGTCGCGTCGCGTCGTGTCGCGTCGGGCCGATCGCTTGCGATCCGG